ATGTTCTGGGGTCCTAACACAGGAGCTTTGATGAATAACCCCTAAACCAGTGAGATAGCAGGTCAAGTTTTTCTCAAAATATTCTTTTGCATTGTCAGATCTGAAAATTTTAATCCTGGTATCAAACTGGGTTAGGACAAATTCATGGAATTGCCTCACAAGTCTGGGAACTTCATCACGGGACTTCATAAAAAATATCCAAGTGAACCGAAAAAAGTCATCAATGAACAAGATAAAATATTTGTAGCCATCCATAGAGGGTAAATGGTAAGGCCCCCACACATCAGAGTGCACAATATTAAAAGGAGAAGAAGATCTTTTATTACTCGAAGGATAACTGTTTCTACAATGTTTTGATAGTTCACAAGACTCACAATGAAGACTGGACAAACTAATTCCCTTAAACAGTTTTGGGAATAAATGACTTAATGCAGAAAAAAAAGATGACCCAAACGAAAATGACATAACATGACTCGGCTGATGGCCTCTGTAGATGTAGACCCAAAAGCAGCTTTTCCAGGTTGTTCATGGCACTGTCCAGGAGTATCTAACAGGTATATTCCATTCGCCTCACGACCATTCCCAATCACCTTCTAAGACTCCAGATCCTGAAAAACACAGTAGGAAGGGAAGAACGTTACACAACAGTTTAATGACTTAGTTAGGCTACTTACAGATAACAAGTTTGTATTTAGTCTAGGTACATGAAGAGCAGAAGGAAGAACCAAGGAGTCTGTAGCCTTGATGGTTCCCTTGCCGGAGATAGGGGCAAGAGAGCCGTCGGCTAGGGTGATTTTGTCACGTCCATGAAGTAAATCATATGAAACAAAGTAGAAAGGCTGGTCATATGATTAAAAGCACCAGAATCAATAATCCAAGGGATCCTACGATTACATGAAATGGTTGCATAATTGGTAGAAGCCCATATACCTGAATGAGCAAATGCAGAAGATGTTGAATTTTCTAAAGGGTTGGAAGAAGAGGTCACACCCTCTAGGTGACTGATCATCCTCCCAAACTTCTCATATTCTGCCTTCATAGCTGCTGCACACTAGCTGTCATCTCTTCAGTTTGGTATCTGTCACTATCTGGACCAGTAGCAACATTAGCACTCCCTGCCCTTTTATTATCAGGCTTCTTCTGAAACCGAAGTGGTAGGAGCTCAGGATGCAATTTCCAGCACTTGTCTTTAGTGTGTTTTGGCTTTTTATAGTACTCACAGACAATCTCTTTCTTCCCTGAGCTACTTGGAGTCCTTGCAACCCCTTTGGGTTTCACTCCCATATTAGCAAAGTGGTCATTTAGACCAGCTGCTTGAACCTGGACAAGTCTCCTGCTTTCTTCACTACTTACCAAGGCATATGCCTGGGATAGTGAGACACTATCCTTAGATAAAATATTTTGTTTTGCAATGTTATACTCTGGATTTAGTCCTGTCAAGAACTCAAACACCCTGTTTCTCTCAACCAGTTTTCTGTAGGTCTCAGCATCATTAGTGGTGTCTCAGGTTACAGCTTCTATCAAATCTATTTCTTGCCATAAAGACTTCAGCATTGAGAAGTATACAGCTAATGGTTTCTCCCCCTGTCTTAAATTCTTCACATCACTTCTCAACTTGTAAGCTCTGGCCACATTTAATTTTTGGGAATAGGTTTCAGCAACACTATCCCAAATTTCCTTTGTTGAATTCATCAAATAGTGCTGACTAATCTGTGGTTGCATTGAGTTCACAAGCCACCCAATAACAGTATAATTTTCTT